TCGCTGCATTGAAGACCAATTGGTGGCCTTCGGCTGTTGTCTGCTCTATGGTCGGGTTGTTGTCTCTTTGACACATTCCCCATTTCCATTCTCAATTTTATGTACATATAATTTGATTTTCACCGAAAGCCCATTACAGAAAGATGTTTCTCAAAATTAGTATATTGGCTTTCTTTTAACAAAAAAAAATAGATTTTACTATGAAACAGAACTCAATGTTTATAACATATTATACATGTGACTTTTTGTCCGTGACTTTTTGTCTGTGACTTTTTGTATGTGACTTTTTGTCTGTGACTTTCTGTCCTACATTCTGACAGTTATCTTGACCAGGAAAAATGACTATATACCTATTTATATGTAAAAGGCTTTGCATCAAATTTATAGAAACACTTAGATTGAACCATTAATTTTATCAAATAAGTAAATATAAAATGATTTTCAAACATATTAGCAAACGATAAATGTATTGACTTTCGGATACATTTAAACTAAGGCAAGGCTCTTGCATACCTCAAGTTAAGTCCGCGAATATGTTTACTTATATTTTATGAAAATATTTTAAACTACCAAGATATCGTGCATACAGGGGCTCAAGCATACCTCAAGTAGTCCTCAAAATGTTTTTTTGTTTGTTATGAAAATATTTAAAACTACCAAGATATCCTGCACAAGGCTCGGGCATGCCTTAAGTAGGACGTGGAAATAATTATTTACTGTTAAGAAAATATTAAAAAACAAACTATATTGGAATTATCAACTTACATGTATTTGTGGCCTACTTCACACCTTTTTTGTGTTACTTTATATTTGTGATCAAACTTGTCAAGTTACAACCGGTAATATACGACATGATTTACAACACAGTAACAATCTACTACTCAATAATATAAAAAGTCTAAATAACCCCGTGCTCGTCACAGTACCCTTAACTGTTTTCCCCAGGGTTTATTTATTATTTGATAAAGACTTTACCATTCAATCTTAATGTTGTTTTTTATAATAAATTTTAAACAAATCCTATAAGATATAAATAAGTATTAGGTAGTACAACATTCAGGACACAGTCAACATTGGTCAGGTCAAGTTTTTTACCCCAAAACATATATTTTTCCTGTATTTTTTTTTAATAATATAAAATAACACAGAAAGTTTCATCGGTTAGGTCATTGATGTTGTTGGTCAGTTTATTGTCAACGTTAGAAAGGTCACTTTTTCGGAATTTTTTATAAATTTTTCCTATATTTATATGTTAAATGATGAAATTTTATTATTATTTCAAATTTAACATAAATCTTTTAAGAAATCAAAGAGGTTATTAGCATATTCGTTTGGTCCTGTCTTTGTCAGCGTTGGTCAGGTCAAGTTTTCTGAAGATTTAAAGAAGTTTTCAATATGTTTTCTTATATTTATGTATTAAATGTTCTAACTTTATCACAATTCAAATTTGACATGAATCCTTTGAGAAATAAAAAAGTTATTGGCATTTTCGCTTTGGTCCAGTCATTAGAGTAACACACCAAAGGGAGATAATTCGTATTGTGAGGAATATTGCACATGATCATTTTTAAGAAATTAATTTCACATGTTTCTAGGTAGATTCCCCATAACTTTTTTTGAGTTTTGATAAAAACAAGAATGAAATTAATTGTTTTTGTGTTCTTTTTAATAGATGTAGCCGCATAATTTCACAGCACTACACCAAATATTGTATTTTTCTCAAAAATCCCAACTTTCTCCGCTGTTACTATGGTAACCAATCAATATATTTATCGGTTGGCATTATTTTTCTAACTAGGCATATAGGATCTACATATCAGCCAATTTTCAGAAAGATCGGTGACTATGCGTGCCGAAAAAGTTTAAGTGGTTACAGAGAATGAGTATTAAATGTTTACATTTTTATTGTTCAATTTCAATCTATAGCATTTATTGACCTGATATTTGCTGAAAATTGTTTGACATTTTCACCCTACTTAACTTATTTTACGACCGAAATTAATTTTGGTCGTAAGAATTGTTAAACGGAAATATATGATAAAACTTGTACACATTTTAAAAATATATTTTGAATGACTCAAAATGAATATTGGAGAAAATTATTAAATGTTATAGAAAGTGATAAAGACATTAGTGTTGTAATTAGAGATCGTGTAAGGCTAATGAGTCGGGATAATAGGAACAGAGGAAAATGCTGAAAAAATATCCCAAAAATGCAAGGACAACACAGGGCACAAAGACTACAGAACATACTGAACTACCGGAACTTGCACATACATACTTGTTAATATGTAAAATTGAAAAAAATATACCAAGACATGTTCTTTTTTTAAAATGAATAAAAGGAAATGTGGGTTTACTGCAATGAGATAACACTAATCTAAAATCAACACTAAATTATCCAAATGATGAAAAACATAAGTAAATGATAATAGACACAACTGTCGAGGTTCCTTTCTTCGGATAGGGTAATTAACATAAATCTATGAAGCAGGGTTGGACCTTTGTTAACCATTTTTTTGTCGCATTGAGTGGACTAAAAAAAATCAGTACAGGAAAATCACTTTACTCTATACAAATCACTCTTACAACTATCAACCAGTTAAGCACTACAGGAAATTTTCAGATATGAACACATGAGACCAACAGCAATATAATGTCCAATAAATAAAATGAATTGGTTTTACTACGTTCTAGTATTGATTCTAAGTAATATGTTAAACTTCATTCGTATGATACATTAAAAAAAATGTGAATAATTGTTATTGTGGCACAAAAAATTTCAACACATTGTCGAGCAATAAATTCACTCACTATTGATCACAGAACTATCAAAATGTAAAAATATGTTTTAATGTTTAATTTCATTTGTATATCCAATCCTATTGTTTATTGTATACACTATGCAAGTCCTTTGTGTTTTTTCCATAGAAGAATATTGTTCTGGTACGAAATCAACAAGCAAATATCAAACCTTTTGTTTTGTTTATTATTTGGTGGTTTTGTTTTCATTATGCTAATGATAGATTGGGATAACAATTTCCAAACGGGCAGCACACTTTTTTATGCAATTCAAACATTTTTATTTGACTAGAATAATGTTTTTTTTTCTAAAGGTATTTCGTCAAATGTAAAATTATTTTTTTTTCTAAAATCAATTTCTATTGGGGTTACTTTTGGAGATTTTAAACTTTAGTTTCATTTTTCATGTCCTCGGAGATTCGGATACAGCTGACATGTCTCGATGTTCCACGTGTTGTCTAAATCCTATACATGTATGTATTGTTTCTGAATGTTAGTACAGTACTTGTTTAGTGTCAATCTGCTTAAGAATCAGGCAGTGGTGAAAACATGACAAATAAAAATCCACTCTAGTTGACATTAATTTATGTTCAAATTGTATAATGATGCACGAATATAACAGTTGTTTCCTTTTCCTGTTCTGGTAGTTCAAGATATAATTTGGTTAAAATGCACTAGAAATTAACAATTAAGGGGAGCTTACTCCTTAATTTGCTATCATTCAAACCAAAAGCTACCTTGAGATTTCTCGAATTACTAGACACATAGAAACGAAAGACCTACCACTTCTACCTCAGGATGAGGGTAACTTCAAAAAAGGATGGATAGGACGGTGTTTTTTTTTCAAAGTTGCCTGATTCTTATGAAGACTGGCACTTAAATTTCTTTCCCCCATTTGAGCCTGTTATTTGTTGATATCAGCCAGCACATGTGGTTTTCAATATACAGAATTCCACAGAAACATTTTGTCATAGCCCATTGTAAACTTGCAGTAAGGGTGAGGTTTTTAACTGTGTTGAAGGCCTTATTGTGACCAAAGCAATAACAACGCTGTTATTTTGCTTGTGCTTTGCAGTTTTGAAAGTAACTTTTGGGATATCGTGTCTTTGGTTACAATGTAATATGCCATCTTCTTTTCAATCATATACTTTTAGACGTTTAAATTGCTTTAGAAATGAAAGGAGTAACATTGAAATTTTAAGATATTGATCACAATATTTATAACTGGAATGTAGTATATCGTATAGAATATAAAATATAAATATGTATAACTTCGTTGCGTTAAACATATATTTCTATACTCCATGGGAGAGAGTATTCCGGCTGGTCACCTAGATAACAGACGTTAATAATTATGACTGTCATAGTGTTATCTTAAGATTCCAAAATTCTCGTCTGATTTGTAAATTTTCCGAGTGTGTCCTACTCCAGATTATTTTTTTTGACTGAACGTGGATGTTCATGACAGGTGATACAAGCACAGCAGGAGACATTTAACCCTTTTGACGAACCGTTTTAGCTCTTGTCGGATGCGATTGCCTCATTTTTGTTTTTTAATTCAATTTGCATATATCGATGGATTTATGACAATTGATGATAGGAAAACCATTTTAGACCTTGATTTAAAATCTCAGCATAATTACATTTTGTAATAACAAGGATTTGCATAGTTGTTTGAGTTAATATTGTCGTCTACTTGAGAACAGATAGCATTGTTTAAATTATAATTCCCTGGACTTTCTTTATACTCAAAAGCATCACGCTGTTTCTTGTCACCTGTCGTCAGCTTATCGTGATCTGACGGATTATCTTTAAGGATTTTCATTGCATTGCAACTGTTTATTGTTTTGTCAGATCCGGCATACTGGTATATGCAATTTTGTAATTCACTGGTTCCATATATAGATTGAATAACTGCCTGCAATGTTGCATCATTTACTGTCACACTTTCCTGCATTCGTAATTGTTCATACTCGTTACTTCTCATCTGTCCGTCTTTTTGTAGCGGTTGATACACATGAGAATATTTAGTACCAGTAGCGTCTTCATTAGACCCTGATGAACTTTCAATACACTGATGAACCATCACAGGTACTTCTTGTAAATGTTCATGCAGATTTTCCATAAATTGAGAAGGACTCACATTTTCGGTCATTTTTGGGACACTAGCGTTTGAAACGAAGGAACAATTTGAAATGCTATCTTTTTTTATATATTTGGTCTTTCGAATTGTCTCCTTCTTCTTCAGCTGCAAAAACAGGATCAAGATAATCTGTTGAAATAGACGTACTCTCTTGTGGAACAAAGTAAACAGGTTCATTATAAATTGATGATGTTGTGACGTATAAACCTTCCGTGTTATCTGTTAAAACGTTTTCGTCAATTTCATCATAGACGCCAGTAAATGGAGAAGTTATGGTTGATTCCAAAACCACATCTTTATTGTTGCATAAAGGTCTTAATTTAGATGATTTTCGCTTTTTGTAATAACGTAATAGATGAGTTAATGCAGTCAACATTATAACGCCAGCAATACAAAGAGAATACAATAGCCATTCCTTATTAGATGGTCCTACAATTAAATAGTGAAAATCAATAATGATAGATTAAGTGAACATGCAAATGTAAAAACACTCACAAAACATGTTTAATCCCGCCGTCCCAAGTCAAGAACCTCTAGTCTTTGTAGGTTTTTGGTGTTTTTTTTTCGGTTTTGGAGTTAAGTCTGGCGTCCATTTCGCTGAACTAGTATGTATTATTGTTTAGGGGTCAGCTTAAGCCCGCCTCTTGATTTACTTGCTGCATTGCAGACCCATTGTTGGCCTTGAGCTGTTTTCTGTTCTTTAGTCGAGTTGTCGTCTCTTGAACTAATGCCCTGTTTCCATTCTATATTCTACTTACTAGTACTATGTGATTAATGGAAAATTTGCATTCCGACTTTTAATTTTCCAAGGTATCGCAGATAAATAAAAGTAACTTTGTTGATGATGTTGTCCTAGTTTTTTTGTAATTGTAGTTATTTTCCAAAATAGGTGACACTTATTAATTGTAATTATTCAAACTCAATAAATTGTTGCTTCTACCTACCACTGCTTTTGACTGCTGTTTCCTCAATAATGATAGCTTCACTTGAAAAGTCAGTAGCAATAATAGTTGTAACAGTACTGTCCGCAGAGGTTATACCTTAAAAGAATTTTGAAAAATCCTCATTTTGACAGGTACTAAACTCATACATGGATAACACTCAATAAACGTACTAATATAGAATAGTCATTCATTTGGTATCAACTGCTGCCAGCATTAACATTTAATGTTGTTGATAAGTGGAGGAAAAGAGGATATGGCGTATACGTAAATATAGAAGACAGCACATAACAACAGAAATGTTTTAAGGTACAAAGACTCCAGCGTTTACTTGGGAATAAATATATGGTCACCCTTGACTCCTTCTGTTAAGGCATTAAAACCCCATGATAAAGAATGGCGTCCATCTGATGTTCAGGGTGTACATTTCCGCGTACTCGTTAGGACGTTAAATTCCATGCCTCGTGTTTCACGCTCTGTGCATTTTTAAGAAACCTTGCCATAATGTTAACTCTCTTGCAAAGTGTTGTGCCCTACCTCACATTGAAAACTGTGAACAAAACACTCTGGGTTTCATATTTTCCCAGGAGTTTGTTCTCCGAGATCCGTACTTTAAGTATATACGTAAATTATACACAAGCTTTAAAATACCTGGTTGTCAGTTGTTTGAATTACCGAAGGTCAAAGAAGAACACTGAACTCACACGTAGGAAGTAATTTAAAAAACTTAGACCACAGAGTTAAAGTTTGGCGTTTGATCCAAACAAGTTTTTACCATAGTTTAAAGCTACAGGGTTACTCTGTTATTTTTTCATGGAAATTGTCGCATTTTCGCGAACAGGATGTATGTATAAAAGTAAAGAGACTAAACTGTTTCAGAGACCTCAGTTGTATCTCAGAGACTAGGTGTCTCGGGAACTTCCGATTCAGTTTTTGGAGTTTGACTTGTGGTTTCAAAGTTAAAGTCTCAGTTCTTGGTTTTGAAAATGTTATAGTTTCACCAATAAGTTGGAACGTCTTATTTAGTTTGAGGATAAAGGATAAATCGAAGTTATAGTTTCGGGGAAAATGGATGTGTATGATTTTGTTGTTTCTTTGTAATTCAGATTCACAGTTCAAAGTATGGTCACGTAGTTTGAAATACAACTCTAAGTTGTAGTTAGGTTTTGTGTTAATATAAAGATTGACATTGAAGCATCTCAATTTCCAAGAAAATTGATACGAACATTTATAAGCATGCCGAACAGGTTAAAATAGCGCCGTATCTATGAAATGAAATAAACAGAACCATTGAAAAACAGGCAACATGGTTATAAATGAGATAACAGAGTTTTGTATACATGTAACAAGTATTTTTTTTTAATATAAAAATACTTTTGTAATACTGCATGCAGTGTCAAGTTCAAAATAGATATATTTGTTCTCATGCCCTCAGTGAACCCTAAATTAATTTGATAAAAATAGTATAATGTTTTATATTATGTATGGACAGTACAGGAAAAGCTCTTAAATTAATCTAAAAAACGGATATTACGTAACAAAAAACACTATTATCGCTAACATTTTTAACAATTAAAATCGTGGTTACCCTTCTATCGATAAGTGTCATGCCAAAACATGACTTACATGTCCCCGTCTTTCCACCAACAATACGGTAAGGTCCATGTTTAATGGTCGCACATTTTCTTTAAATTTTGAAACTGATATAACTTGAAAAACAAACAGTATAATTTATTTACTCACATGAAACAAACCGGGATGCGGTATTCAGTACGTAGGTGAAACTGGACGATATTTATCTAAACGCACTCAAGAACATCTGTATCGTTTTAAAAGACCCAATAAATTCAAAAGTATCATTTATCAACACCTTAAGAAGCACAATCATCCTATTAAATATTTAGCAGTTCAACCTTTAGAAGTAGTAAATAAGCAGCCTGGTGAATCTCATTCAAAGTTTGTACGATCGCGGAAAATAATTGAATTAAATTGGATTAAAAAATTACAGACAGTCTACCCTCTAGGTCTTAATGATAATATCATGGGAATTGGTAATATATCAAGAACCGATTCTGTTAACATTTTGGATATAGTTTCTAAAACTGTTCGTAAAAACCGTTCTCATGGTCGTAGAAAAAATCGTAATCAAAGAAAATTTCGGACCAATCATACCAATATTTCGGACCTAATTTCTATTTCAAAAAACAACGGCAGACATTATCTGTTAACAAAGCTCTGTTCATTACCTGTTAATAAGTTAAATAAAATTTTAGAGGATTGCAACACAATTTTATATAGCAGTCCTAAGTATGAAATCGTTCAAATTATAATGGCATATTGTTATTCTAAACTGTTTCCCAATTGATCGCCCTGAAGATCATAAAAAACAGTTTATTAAAATAAAGTATGTCAATAAAGGTTTTGATTTTGTAAATATTGCCGGTATTTTTAACGACCATTCTGTTAAAGAACAAATTCCGGGATATTTTGATAATACTGAGCTCCCTCTTATTTGTTATATTTACAAGAAATCTACACGGAAATTTGTGTTTAATTATAGCCAATTGTGTAAAGATGTTAATATCAGTGAAAATACACCTACTTCATGTAATTGCAGTAATTCCGAATACATTTATGGACCCATTTCCCATGTTATAATAGGAGATCTTAACATCGTTCAAGACCGAGAGTTAAAATCATTCCTCAGTAAAGGACCTAAATATCGTCCCCCGTCAATTATTAATTGGAATGAGTGTCGTAATATCATCCACGACTCACTCCATACTTACGGTTTGAAATGGATAAAACGGGAAAAAGCTGACAAAAAATCTTTGGACTCTTTTTTTAAATCAGTAATGAACATAGTTGATATACGTATTCAACATTTCAAAGAACATTTTACTCTTAACAATAACCACAATAAACCTATTTCTCGTATCAAACATAAACTAAAAGAACTAGCCAAGGAATTTGTTTTTGTCCCGGCCGATAAAGCTGCTAATAATATTATTATTGTTTGACGTAAATTTTACATTGAGGTTCTGAAAAAAGAAATCACCAATTCACCAACATTCCAACTGACTCCATTTTCAGAAAACGACATCTGTAACAAACATAAACTTTTAGCTACCGCTTTACAAGCAGAACCAAATACAATGAAAGTCCCAACTATGTATTGGCTTCCGAAGCTACACAAAACACCTTACAAATATAGATTCATTTCGTCTTCAAGCCATTGTTCCACTACTAAATTGTCTTTTCTTCTTACCAGTACACTTGGTACTAAATTTTTCAAATAAGGCCTTCGAAAATAGTGGAATTATTTACTTTTGGAGTGTCAAGAACTCGTTGGAAGTACTTGATAAATTGCATGCATATATTGGTGATTTTGAATCTGTTCAAAGTTTTGATTTTTCTACCCTATATACCACATTGCCTCACATTCTCATTAAGAAAAAATTGACACACCTAATTAAATGGGCATTTAAAAAGTCAGAATGTGAATATATATGTTCAAACTCTTTTAGGTCATTTTTTAGTAGCAATAAACAAAAAAACTATGTCAATTGGACATGCTTTGATACTATATATGCCCTTGAATTTTTACTAGATAACATTTTTGTTCGCTTTGGAGATTCCGTATATCGTCAGGTTATCGGAATCCCAATGGGGACTAACTGTGCACCACTTATTGCGGACCTTTTTTGTATTGCTATGAGTTACAATTTATGACAAAAATCAGCAAAGACCCATCGAAACAACATCTGATACACAAATTCAATAATACTTTTAGATTTTTGGATGATATTTTGGCTCTCAATAATGACGACTTCAGTATGTACACTAAAGAAAATTATCCTGTTGAACTTACTTTAAATAAAGCTAATACTAACAATGACCACTGCACTTTCCTCGATCTTGATATCTATATCATTAGCGGAAAGCTTAATACTAAAATATATGATAAAAGAGATGATTTTTCATTTCCTATCGTTAATTATCCATTTTTAGATGGTGACGTTCCCTTGTCACCATCTTACGGTGTTTATATATCTCAACTTGTACGATTCGCTCGTGTATGTAACAATGTTTTAGATTTTAACGAGAGAAATTTATGTATTACTGAAAAATTATTACACCAGGGTTTTCGATATCACAAACTAGTCAGAACATTTACTAAATTTTATCATCGGTATAAGGACATCATTCGTAAATATAGCTCAACATGCAGACTTCTTATACGTTCAGGTATTACACATCCAATTTTTTATGGAAATATTCTTTATAAAGCACAAAAATGTCAGTATTCACCTCTGAAGCTAACAAAACCTTTAAATAGACTTATTAAGAAGGGATATAGTTACGATACTGTTGTCAGGTCATTAAAGATTGCATATTTTGGCGTTAATATTGATTCACTTATAGGGTCTTTGCATCGGCACTAAACACATTTATTTAAAAACCAGTTGTTGGCATGACACGGGTTATGTTCTTCTCATATATATGTTATGATGGTATGATACTAAACCCCTAACGGGAAGGATTGTGCCTGATATTCATATGATGAAGACATAATCTTTCAATCAGTTTAATTGAAGTCTGGAGCTGGCATGTCAGTTAACTGCTAGTAGTCTGTTGTTATTTATGTATTATTGTCATTTTGTTTATTTTCTTTGTTTACATCTTCTGACATCAGACTCGGACTTCTCTTGAACTGAATTTTAATGTGCGTATTGTTATGCGTTTACTTTTCTACATTGGCTAGAGGTATAGGGGGAGGGTTGAGATCTCATAAACATGTTAAACCCCGCCGCATTTTTGCGCCTGTCCCAAGTCAGGAGCCTCTAGCCTTTGTCAGTCTTGTATTATTTTAAATTTTAGTTTCTTGTGTACAATTTGGAGTTAAGTATGGCGTTCATTATCACTGAACTAGTATATATATTTGTTTAGGGGCCAGCTGAAGGACGCCTCCGGGTGCGGGAATTTCTCGCTGCATTGAAGACCTGTTGGTGACCTTCTGCTGTTGTCTGTTCTATTGTCGGGTTGTTGTCTCTTTGACACATTCCCCATTTCCATTCTCAATTTTAATTAGATAACAAATTATACCGTATTAAGCTTTGATATTGTGCGTGATAGTGAAAAGAAACTTTTAGAATTGTTAATTCATTTTTTTCTCTGTGGTTTTAATAAAGCCTGTGTATCCGTGATTGCTATCCATATTGTCACGGATGGCTGATACATAGCAATTTAACTGATAGTATACACATAAATTATAAAACTTAATATATATTAATAATTAATTATTCATAAGACATCAGTTGACCTCACGATGTCATTTAGTTTTTTGGGTCTTGTGTTAGTCACTCCACTGACGCACTTCAAATGTCTTCAGTTAAGGGTCTGTTCGAGTTAAAGATATTTTGAGTATTGCGCTTTTTATTCTCTTTGGCGCTAATAGCTTGCATACAAAATATACAATATTTCAATAAAAAACAATGTCTCTTTTTCCATTGAGCATACATAGTTATCATGCATTCTAACCATACAAACTTTCATAACAAATCGTTACTCCTTTTAATATATATACTTTTAATCCAAATTACAAAAAAATGGCCTAGAGACCAGGTCGTATACTATTATCAATACTATATACCAGTGTATCATCATTTTTTTGTGGTTCTAATTATTAACAAAATTAAATTCTATTCGATGCATTATTTACCGAAATATCGTGAGCTCAAATCCATCAATTGGAAACACAACTTCAAAATAGTTATGGATTCAGTCGAGGATTATGCCAGGCAATGGGTTAAACGCGAGAAAGAAGACGTAGATACACTTTCCGAATGGATTAAGGCTGTGAGGTCGTTAATACAAATCAGAATTAATAAACCGAATTGGTCTATTAATACCCATGCTACATCAATCTTTAAAGACCCAAATGTTGCTAAACACTTGTCGTACCTCCATGACAAATATGATGTTGTCCCCACATCGTTTTTGTGTGTAAATCACATTACATAAACTGCTTGATAAATGAATAAGTTTTGACAATTTACTTGGAAACTCAAAATATACCCCCACGACACTTACTAAAGAGGAAATCCTGGATAAACATAGGTCTGTTCTATGTTCCTTTGGAATTTCACCAAAGATGATGAACTGGATCTTCCATCACTGTATTGGATATCTAAACTACATAAGTGTCCTTACAAACAACGGTATATTGCTGGATCTTCCAAATGCTCCACGAAACCTCTTTCTGAATAATCAACATCAATTTTATCAGATGTGGGTACCAAAAAATTCCAAAGATCTTTAAGAGTACATACAATCTAAGACTCTTTCATCTTGCAATAGTATTAAAACATTTGACTCTTCTACACTATTCACAAGTATTCCCCATTCCGAACTAAAAGACAAATTGAAAGAGTTGGTCTTGCTTTGTTTCATAAAAATGAATAGCCAACGTAGATACAAGTATCTTGTCTTAGGGAGGGATAAATCCTACTTTGTTTGGAGGACGTGTTTTTCAACAAACAATCGGCATTCCCATGGGAAACAACTGCACCCCTCTTCTTGCCGACTTGTACCTTTATTCAGATGAGGCTAACTTCATACAGGAACTTCTTTGGAAGAAAGAAAAGAAGTTAGCAGTATCCTTTAACTTAACTTTCCGCTACATAAATGATGTTCTCTCACTAAATAATTCAAAATTTAGTGACTATGTTGAACGAATCAATCCCATCGAACTTGAGATAAAGGATACAACAGATACAATTAAGTCTGCCTCATATCTTGACTTACATCTAGAATTTGACAATGAGGGTCGGTTGAAAACAGAAGTTTATGACAAATGATTTCAGCTTCCCAATTGTGAACTTCCCATTTTTATGTAGCAGCATTCCAGCAGCGCCTGCATACGGAGTATATACCTCCCAGTTGATACGAACTCCAGGGCTTGCATTTTCTATCATGATTTTCTTGATAGAGGGTTGCTGCTCACAAGGAAGCTTCATGTATTAAACCAAGAGTTCCAAGTGGTGAAGTTGAAATCATCTCTCCGTAAATTTATACGGACGCCATCACGAGTTGGTTGACCGTTCCGGAATATCCGTTTCACAGATGATAGCGGATATGTTTCTAATGTCGTAACTACAATCCTGTCTCCTTTCCCGAATGTGACCTACCGAATTAGACTTATTACCGGATTTGTACTAACATGAGCAACACGACGGGTGCCACATGTGGAGTATGATCTGCTTACCCTTCCGGAGCACATGAGATCACCCCCAGTTTTTGGTGGAGTTCGTTTTGCTCAGTCTTTAGTTTTCTATGTTGTGTTTTGTATACTGTTGTTTGCCTTTCGTCGGTTTTTGTTTTTTGCCATGGCATTATCAGTTTGTTTTCCATTTTTGAGTCTTAATATCTGGCTGGTATCTTTCGCCAATCTTTTACCTTGATCACATTTATATCCTGTATACCCTGCTTTACAAACACATCCAAATGTATTGTTGCATTCCTGAAATTGACTGCAATTGCATGTAGCTTTGCACTCTTTACCATAATAACCAAACATGCATGCAAGCTCACATGACCTCCCATAGGTCCCAGCTGGACATGCTGAAAAAATGAAAAACATTCGGATAGCTCAATAATAGTAAGAAAACTCCAGATTTATATTTTGAGCAGTAAAAGGAAGAGTACATGCATTGGAAAGTATCCTTAAAGAAAACATAATACAAGTCATATAAGTGGTTATGTTATCCTTCTTGAAGACATTAGCTACTTATACTGATAATCTGCCTATAAAAATGCATAAATTTATATTCATAAGTAAATTTAACATTCTATAATAATCTAATTGACAAGACATATTAAACCTTTGGACTTTTATTCTTTTTTTCTAAAGTGTATATTTATTAAAGATTAAAGAAGAACGATGTTGTTAATTCTGTTTAACACTTTTTACTCACGTTCACAGACGTCGTCCTTTTCGTAAAAGTTTGGACAACACTTTACATTATATCTATCTATGGAAAAGTTTTGATGGCTGAAAAAGAGGAAAATCATTAAACAATTATCCGTCAAAATAGATTAAGATTAAACAAACACTTTTGGGATGCAAAATAGAATAAAATGTACAATACAGCATACCTATAAACAGGTGGCAATCTTTCAGGACATGCATTCTTTGATGTAGTACTCAGAGAACTGGATAAATGCAAAACATTATATGCTGCTGTTAACATTAAACAATACATTTCGAGAAAAAATTAGACGGAAGTAAACATGATAAATTTCTGTCATTTTTTATAATATAATAATATTTGCGTTCACACAATTGGCTTTTTCCTGCTTTGAAACATATCCGGAGTAGACAAAAGTAATTGACCTAATAGCTATATTATTAGTTACACAGTGTGGTAGTGAAGCTCTCGCAACCCATATGAAATTTAGTGATCCCATATATATCGTGTTAGGTCACTAGCACACTGTGTAACAAATTTATCTTACCGACTATCTTAACATGGGGCCTTTAGTCTAGTGGCTCATCAAATGATCAAGGCTTAGTCTTCAATAATAAGAACCTAATTTCATTTGTCTATACAAAAAAAATGTCAACAATAACAAAATGTTAGCTTTAATGTGTTAAGTGCATTTATTTGCAGTCGTTCATCATCAATTTCTTCATCAGTTTTTTTGGGCGAAACGTTTCAGATTTTTCTTCGACCTCTTGTTGTTTTTATAAAGGGACGTAACACTGTTACTTTCCGTATATTAAAATTGAACACGCCCACTAACCCCATATTAAACAGACAATGTATCAACGTGTTTGCTTTTAACCAATGATACTCCTAGAAATGTATAGGATATAAGATAAAATATAATGTAATGATATGCATTAAAATACTACATATTATATGTATCTGTTTCACTTTTATTGTAAAAAAAAAAACCACTAAAAGCAATAATATTTTCGTTAAGGCAAAGGAATGTAAGAAGCAATGATGTGAGCAATGAACACTGGATGTACGAAAAAGCAAAAATTTTGCGTTATAATGCAAACTTTTTTATTTTATTTTTTTCATTATGTTTTAGAAAAGAAAGGATATAGAGTCTCATACATGACACAAAATCAGTATATGCACACATCATTCGTGTGCCTGTCACAAGTAAGGAGTCTGTAGTTCAGTGGTTGTCGTTGGTTTATGTCTGTCATATTTATTTTTCGTTAATTGTTTTGTTATAAATTAGGCCGTTCGTTTTTTCATTTGAATTATTTCAGATTTTTCATGTCGGGGCCTTTTATAGCGATTATACGGAATGGGTCTTTTCTCATTGTTGAAGGCCATATTCATTTGGTGGATAATTGTTTCAATGGCAATCATACCACATCTCCTTATTCTTATACAGAAAAACCGCTAACCGCCAGCTAACATGTTTAACCTCGCGACATTCTAGTTGTGTCTGTCCCAAGTCAGAAGGCTGCGATGTTTGTCGTTTGATACTGTATATCTTATTTGTGTTTTGTTTATTGTTTTGTACATAAATCAGGCCGTTAGATTTCTCGTTTGAATTGTTTTACATTTGTCATTCCAATGTCTCTTATAGATCACTATACGCTATTTCCGTACTGTGAACTATAGTTGCTTACTGCTATATCATTTGGTCTCTTATGGATAGTTAAACTCTTTGGTATTATAACACATCTTCTTAATTCTATATGGTATGAGCAATTTCCATTGGAAATGACATACATGTAATTTGAAAATGTTGATTTACGGAAAGTGGCTAAGTATAGATGCACATAAAAATCATGCAATGGTGAAAACGTCAAATAGACAAAACGATCTTTCTAATTGGATATGAATTATTTAGAAAAAAAAAAAAAAAGAATTTAGATGTAATACAGCGTTTGTTGAAAACGAAGAAAATGATAAAGATTCTTTGATGAAAAATAAAGGGGTTTTAAATTTCAGTCTAGTAAGGTAAGACGATTCGGTAGCAATTTGAATGTAGTATACATAACAATAATAAAAAAGAATCATTATCTTGTACATTTATTTTAGGAGAATTGATTTTTTTTAAATATCTTTAAATTAAAAGATGACGTCGTAAATTCGAAATCATTGATCAGGTTATTCGTTATCCTTTTTGATAACGATTTTTTACTGTGTTTTATTTACTATTTATGACGTATGGTCTAACTAGAAAAAAGGAGGACATTTGGTTGTGTGCATGCATACCTGGTTTAACCCCATCAACTTGTGTGCTTGTGCAAAGTCACGCTATCTGGACCGTGTTCTGCCTTATGACCAACTAAGACGATGCAAATAAAACCAATGCCATATCTACTTTATAAAATATATATGAGAAAGTTATAAAATGGATGTTGTTGGGTTTTTGTCTCACTAGGTTTTACAGTATAGTTTTAAACCGTTATTTGCCTTGCTACGCTTGATTGAATGATTCCTAATACCCATCTGGCAAATTTTTCTTTGCATATCAGGCATATATTTTGTATAAGAACCAATATACAAATAATTTTCAAAAAAATGAAAACGTGTTGAACGCTAGAGTAACAGTGGTAACCGGTCGGATCATAAGAAGAAAAAAAAATCGAAATCCCTATCTGAGGAGAATTTTGACAAACCCATCATCTCATTTCAGTCATATCTACATTAAGAGTGATACTATTCTTTAGATTAAATCCATAAAGCTTAAATGAAAGAACAGAGTAGTTTATGTTAATCCACAAGAATATGAATATTTTAGTTTTTTTTTTCACAAAAGTACAAATCAAAATTTAAGAAAAATTCTCAGTATAACAAGTCCATTCAAATATAAGGTATAAGCTGATATGAAATACCTAGTAATTAAAAATCAGTAAATATCTAGCTGATACACTTCAAATGTTTGAATTCGGAAACAATCGATTATTCAAATTTTAATATTGCAAAAGTATCAGTGCTTAGTCTAGTATAAACAATTTTTGAAAGTTTTTCTCTAGAACAGATTCTTACAATTTTTCTCTAAAACAAATTCTGACAGTTTTTCTTTAGAACGGATTCTTACAAATATACCCTACACATATTCTAACAGTTGTAGAGTATAATTTTTCTAGTACAGGTTAGAGTATTTCGGTCACAGATTATTGTATTTCATTCATGACAGTCCTGAAGAGAAGCTAGAACTAATCACAATAACAGGTCTCTTTTGGTCCTCTAGCTTCACAAGTATTTATATAGAAGCAGCTTTCATTTGTTTGGTTTTAAGATAAATCAAGAAAACCATTTAAGACCCACCAAATCTAAAAAGCCTTGTTTTCATTCTAATTCTGGATTTTTTTCTGAGGTTATCCCCCTTTATCCGTTACATCTCAATATAAAATTCGAAACGTTCATCAATGATAAATTAAAATGGGCATTATTTCAGAATAGACTATGTAGGATATTTGTCTCATTGGAAATCATACAATATCTCCTTTATCGTTTTTGAGATAGTCGTTACTTTTAATGAGAAGGTATACACCGTTTTGATTGGAGAATGTTTTTATTCCAACGATTAACAATATTATGGACAAAAACACGTCATCATAATCAAACAATTAAATTCTGACAAATGTCAGGACACTCAAGCTGCACTAAAAGATGATAGGAACGAGGGACAGGGAATGCTTCCTTTAAATGAATTGCATGATTCTGATTTCTTGAGAACAAAAAAATGTTTCAGGTAATAAATGATTCCGTGTTATATTAGAAGCAAGACATTTTCTTACAAACATTGATTTTGTTTCCAATAAATTATAACATAACTTAATATGTAGTGCTATATGCATGTAATTATTATTAAAAAAAATTTTTGGCAACCTGTCGATGCAAATTTTTTGGCATTGCGCAAGTTCATGGTTTTTGTCGGGCTGTGGATGGCGTCTTTGCACTATTTCATTATTCCATTAGGTGTGTACAAATAAAAATTAAGTCTGGTAAAACATGATCATTTGTTAATTGTTGTTAGCATTTGAATTAAAGCGTATACTAGTAGTAACTGCTAGCCTCTTAGATTACTGCCTTATCATGTTTATGTCTTCCTTATTTTGTTACTTGTTTTGTGCTTTCTGTTTGTGTCGGTCTGATGAGGCAATCCCTCTCATTAATGATGTGTTTTAACCTTTGATTTTGCCATTTGATTAGAGACTTTCTTTTTTTCCTCGGAGTTCAGTATTTTTGTGATTTTACTTTTTTCTCAAATGCTTTTTCCTGTTGGTGCAACTGTCATACCCTGTTCCTGGTCAAGCGGAAGGTTATGCGCTAAGATGTTTAACCAAACCAAATGTTTCATGTCCCTGTTCATAGACAGGAGGCTTTAATACAATGGTAATTGTTAAATGCTGCATGCTATATATGATTTTTTGTATTGTTTTAGCATAAAATCAGAGTACATGTTATGTTGGAGTTTTATTTCTCTATTTTGAAGGCCATACGGAGAGATGTGTCTCGTTTGGAGGTTCAAGTTGTCTTCGATGTATCTCTTCAAGTTCCACAATTATACATCATGTTTGTAAGACGGTCTCTATACTAGACTGTCTGAATTTTCTCCATATATTCATCATTTGCGGTTTTAAAGCCGGTTTGTGTTTTCTTTGCGACGAATTATCTTGTACTCTGACCTGAATGGTTTTCGTTTTGAAGTTTTTGGAAAGTTCCAGCGATGCGTGACTAGTGAGAAGAAACATTACCTTCCGGATTTCTTTCCTTTGGTTAAAACAAGATCCAGCAAGAGAATAAAGTTAGTTTTATCGTTTATCTTGCTTTTTATACATCTTCTTGAACTAAGAGTAGAATAAAAAAAAATATATATATAAATAAATTAAATTAATTATATTTTTTGGTGTTTAGTGTGACGTCCATTTTCACTGAACTAGTACACAATTTTATTTAGGGGCCAGCTGAGGATCACCTCCGGTTGCGGGATTTTCTCGCTGCGTTGAAGACCCATTGGTGGCCTTCGGCTGTTGTCTGCTCTTTGGTCGGATTGTTGTCTCTTTGACATATTCCCTATTTCCATTCTCAATTTTATTATCCTGCTATACATTCACAACAATTCAAAGGTGCATAAGTCGCATCAAGTTACTGCCATTTTAGATACGCATACATTCTTGAATGTGCTGGAGTAAAACTACAAATGTAATACTGTTCTATGTTTTCATTCATTTTTAAATTTTATTGAATAAATAATTAACACTCTCTCGATCTTGTGTGATAGCC